TTTGAGGGATAACCAGTGATCTTATTTTTAATTGTAAAAACTGATGCACAAAAGTTTGTAACCAAACGACACGCTTGATGAAATTGAGGAAAGTTTTTTGTATGTGTTGTTTTGTTTTTGTTGGTTAATATGTGGACTTTTAAATGTGTGCGCAGTGGCTGGGGAATTCTGGGAGCTGAAGTCCATACATCTTAAAATGGCCAAGGATGGGAAACATTATTCTACATTTTTATTTATGTATATTTCATGTTTTTAGACCATCCATCATCTCCTTCAAGGAGAATACATAATCCACAGAGCAGGATTCTTACTGATTTAGAGCAAACTGGAGTATGGGATGAAGTTATATAGAAACTGGGAAATGGAGAACTTTGTTCTGGTTTTGAAATACTTTGGAATTACCTTTTCCCAGCCAGGCTGACAGAGTCCATTTATTTAAGCAGTTTATGTAACCACCCATCTTGTGAGGGTGACTCCGCTTGGAGCACACAGCCAACAGAATGGAATTTAAAGTATTAGAAACCTAAATTATGGATACACAAATCCATCACAAAAGCTTTTAGAGAAGAGAGCTCCAGGTTGCGCTGCCAGGGGCACCCAGGGTCCTCCTCCTCCCTCCGGGGGTCTCTGGCCTTGGAGGAATCCTGGCTTAGGCCAAGCTGCAATGGCACAAACCAGAGTTTCTTCTCCTGCTAAGCATCCGCAGACCTTCTCTTTGAAGGCCGTGGAGAAAGAGGAGCAGAAAGAAGCAGAGCTGGGACTCTGCAGTCACTGGAGTCCAAGAGGGGCTTCTCTCTGGATGCCCTCGGCAGGACGGGAGCGACGGATCAAGGCACCACCCTGGTTTTGTGGCCCTTCCATTCCTGGCTTTGGGTTGGAAAACACTCTTGCATCCCTGGTCCTTGGCTTTCTCTTTTATCCCCCGGATTGGCGGCAGAGGGGGCAATTTCTCCCCCATGGTCTCTACATCCCGCCTGCCCACCATGGACAGCACTCCTGTCCAAGGTGCTGAATTCAGGGTGGGGGAGGCAAAAGACCCCCGTCTGTGGTGCTGAACGCCAAAGCATTATTTCCGTTTTTCTCTTCTTCCTTCCATTGATGGAACAGAAGGAGATTGTATAGAAGGCAGCTCTAGCGCCCTCCTCTGATAAGTGGTCTCAAGATGACCCCAAGGCTTCCTTCTTTCCTTCCCTCCCTCTTTCTCTTCCTTCCTTCCTTCCCTCCCTCCCTCTTTTCTTTCCTTCTTTTCTTCCCTCCCTCCCTCCCTCCCTCCCTCTTTATAATACTTAGTCTCCCATCTTATCCCAAAGTCATAGCAGCTCCCCATTTATCACCCACCTAGCTTGTTTTGGCAAGCATTGTTAGTCCTCTCCTCCCCCCCCCCCGTCTGTGCCCATTGGTTTTTGCAGTGACAACTGAGTCCAGACGAGAATGTGGGGAACAGCAGGTTCATTGCAGCAGGTGGGGGCCTGAGAGGCTCTGAAGAGGCCATCAAATTAAAG